TCGACATCTCCAACACACCAACTATTTTGGTTTCTTGTTGGCTTTGTCATGGCCTTCATGCTTGCGCTTTTTGCCTTTGCCTTTATGGTTTTGTCCAGATCACTTCTTTTCCACAACATGGATAGTAGGTTGTCCAACTTTAGATCTTCCCTGGTCCTTGTCACTTTCCTGCACACGAAGGGATTCTTTAGTGCATAAATGACTTCTCAACTGAACCAGAGTCATCTCCTCCTTTTGATGTTTTAACGTATGCTTGAAGCCCTTCCACGAAGGGGGATGTTTGTCAATTACACACGACACCGCAATGGATTCATCCATGTTCATCTTGTGGAGTGTAAATTGACCAAGAATATGTAGGAATTCATTATATTGCTCCATAACATGTCTGGAATCCACCATCTTGTAGTTATTAAAATCGCTTACCAAAAACTTCTTACTTGAAGCATCTTCCGTGATATACTTAGACTCAAGTGAATTCCACAACTCCCTATCACTGTCAACATTCTGGTAGATATCAAATAAGGCATCTGACATACTGTTCAAAATATGACCCCTGTAGATGTAGTCATCTTTCTCCCACTTGCTTCTCCTCTTAGTATGATCCAAAGTCTCGTCCTCTATCACTTCGGGCATTAGGGTACTCAGCACATAAACGACTTTTCAGAGTCGTAAGCAAAAGGTGCATTTTCTTCTGCTAGCGCCTGAAGTCAACTCCTTCAAACTTCTCCAACTTCCAAACCTCGTGGTCATCTCTTTCACAGAATCGGCCATGATCGACATTTGAAATATCAATTCGATTGTTGAAATAGGGGTTTTGCCTTAATAAGACACAATAGAGTGATCAATCAAGAACCCGATTACTTGAGAATCATGAAAATAGTACTTTCCGAATTGATATTTCGACCCTATGCCTAGGTTTCACGAAATTCAATATGGGATAAGACTCAAGAGAGTACTTTCGTTTTTAGGCACAAAAACGAGAGCAAAACTAGCTGGAGTGTCTCTTAGGATTGTTCAAAAACCCGTATCTAAAAACATAAGCAAAAAGGTTATTTATGCTCATCAAAATTAACTGAAAATGATAATCATGGCTTAAATTTAGGAGTAGTGAACAGTTATAAAACTGCACATTAAAAGTAGTGGACAGTTACAAAACTGTTCATTAAAGATAGTGGACGGTTACAAATTTGCTTTAACCGTTCCAGACATGAAGCCAGAGGCAAGATCAACCAGAGCCCATCTGGTCCTTAAGGACCAAAGCCCCTCTAGTCTTACCAACCAGAGCTTCTAGTATTAACAACCAGAATCAAGGCCAACCAGTGCCCCTCTGGTCTTACCAACTAAGGCTTTTAGTCTTAACAACCAGAGACAAGGAACCAAAGCCTCTGGTCTCACCAACCAGAGCCTCTAGTCCTTAACAACTGTACTCAAGGCCAACCTTAATCAACCAGAGGCAAGGCCGATCAGAGCCCCTCTGATCATGATGATTAATTTTCCACCACAATGCAAGGGGTGATGCCCCTTAACTCCCAACAAGGTCATACTCATCTTATAACAAGTATGTACTCCTTACCTCCCGACTCGTATTAGAACATCTATCTTATGAAAGAAAGAACTTCGAAATGATCATGCCAAAGGACAAGGAGGCGTCGATCAACCATCCACTCTCGAGATTCGTATTGATCAATTGATCTTCGTGTCCTGCCAGTTCACTAGCCGCCTTTGGACAAGGACCCTTGGACCATTTACCCTGCCTCTATATCTAGCTTTTTTCTTTCAATGTGCCCCAACAGGGCCCGAATGAAAGACCCAAGCCTACATGGACTATCGTACAAATGAAGACTTGGGTTTGTTTCGATGAAAGTAGAAAGCCCACTTAGAATTCGATGTTACTTCCAATTACACTTAAGTGGCTTGGTGACACTAAAATCACCAACAAATAAGATGTACTGAACTATATGTTTTATTTAGTAAAAATGTATTTGTACTATGCAATTTTTCTTACGTTTAGTTAGATTTCACACCCCTACACGGATACACAACTAGATGTTTGAGACATGCTTGACAATTCATATAGTTCCTCTTTTTAGTCATTTGATCAAGATACTATAACGTTCTTTCCATCCGTTCTTACATCTTATAAATAAACCCACCTATGTGTTTTATTTGGTAAAAATCAATTTGTAACTTATGTTTTTGTCTCTTTTAATTATACCATTTACCTCCGCTACATTACAACGGGTACACTAACTAGTATATATACAAATACGTGGTGTGGTGATGGCCGGATCAACCACCATCAATCCCTGTTATCCACAAGAAGTCACAAACGGATCATAAACTATTAACAAACACAGACACATACTAAACTATTAACAAACACATAATAATAAACACAAACACAATTACAAACATATCCAGGTTGGAGAAGCAGATGCATAAAGAATTTCGAGTCCAAAGTCCATATCATCGAGTCATTCCATAGATATTAAACTATTAGCAAATTTCAAATCCTAAACTAAAGCAAAACCTTAATATAAATCATGAACCACAAGCATATGCAAATCCACAAGATGCAGATCCATTTTTGCTAGAGATGGGATAGACGGTGGTGCTTACCCGGAGATGACAACGATGGGGCTCACATCTAGTGGTGCTCTATGGGGGAGAGATTCAGTGACGATGGTGCCCGCTGCTTTCAGAGATGCAATGGTGTTGGTGCATAGGGGTGCACAAAAAAAAACGACTAACCCGACCAACCCAACTCAAAACGACTCGATACTTAATGAATTTGTAGAATCTTCAAATCATAGGTATTAGGCAAGGGTGTTTATCCAAACCGCCCACACCGCACCACAAAGCACGGTTTAGAACTTTCTCAGTACGGTTTGTTGTTTGCATTTACCAAACCACACTGTGCAGTAAGGTTTGTGGTTTTGAGTTATCAAAACCGCTATTCAAACCGCATCGCACCGTGTATTTTGTACATTTTTTAATTTTATATAACATACACAGACAATATATATATATATATATAGAGAGAGAGAGAGAGAGAGAGCTTGGTTCAAATACTAACCAAGAAATTGTGTTAACTATGCTAACCAAGATCAACCAATCATATTTCACCTTTTCTTTATGTTCAAATGTAACTCATATATTAAATACAAAGGTAATTAGATAATTTGACATTTATGTAACTCCCAAATAATTAATTCGGAGTTACAAATCTAAAAAATCTCACTAATTGATCATGATGTAATATTGTATTTGATTTCATACGTGTTCATGATCATAATTTACAAATGATGTTCTCCATATAATGATATTGTTTTCGTAAGTGTAAAAGATTTCCATATCGTCCGAGTAATATGGATAAACATATTGTAAAACAGATTGACAACAATGGAAATGACAAAGTTAAAATCGTCTACTACTACATTCGAAATTCGAATTCCGGTAATGAAGAAAATGATCAAAGCGTTCCTATTGGTAAGTGATTAGTATGACATTTGAATTCGTTTAAATGAACACATATCAAAGGCAATAGATGTTCATATCGATACACATGCACAATCACATCACATGAATATGAACAGTATATGTGATTCATGTGAACACAAACTTCGTAGGTGTTCATGTACATACAACAGAGTTGGCTCCTGAATATATAGAAGATGTTCATACGGTTCACATGTTGTTCATATGTCTAATCTTTTTTATTTGATGTGTTTTGAGGATATACACAAATTGTTCATATGTCTGACAACTCGTGTATCAAAGATAGATTACTTTTTACCTAAATACCCTTTGACATTTTGTTCACATATGTTAATTGAAAATATTAATTTAATAATCAATTTTTAAATATCATTAAATCACAACCGTTTATTATTCAAATTAACGGCCAAGATCAATTAACAAAGTTAATACGATAATCTTGGTTAACATTTGAACCAACCCCGATATATATATATATATATATATATATATATATATATATAGAATAATTTATTATTTATGTGATATTTTTGAACTTTATTTTTTCGACTTTTAATTTGATCCAATATGACAATTGACAATATTAAAAAATTAGTTGAACACGTCCCAACCCATACGTCCAATTTAGTTTGAAGTTTACTTTTTTTAACTTCTTAAACTATTTATGTGATATTAGAAATTGGATGTATCGAAACTCTTTATTTTTTTGGACCACGGTTACTTTAGTCAATTTTATAATGTATTTTTTAACTTATATTTATTGGATTGTAGGCATAAAGTACAATAGGTAAAAACCGAATAATGCGGTGCAGTTTGGTACAGTTTAAAGTTTATGCGGTGCGGTTTGGGGTTTCGAAAAATGTTCAAACCGCATATACGGTGCTGTTTCCGGTTTAGCTTCAAACTGCACCAAACCGCACTGTGAACACCCCTAGTATTAGGTTGGAATTCGGCAGGGTCATTTGAACATAAGACAACCAGATGAACCTGATGTATTTCTATACCATTTATTTAATATGATTATTAAGTCCAAAAGTGATATATCTACATTAAACCAACCCGTAATTAGTTTGATTCAAAATTATATTACAATTTCAACCATAATTTTACTTTTTATTTGCATGAATTTTAGACTTCCTTCTACGTTTGTTAGCTTTATTTGTATATTTTCGTTTTGTTCAAACACAATTACTTAACTAGATTGTAAATTATATTAACTCGACCAACTCAATTTATCATATATTTTTTGAGTTGGATTATATTAAGATTTTTCAAACTACAAATATTTCATTCAGTTGTTCAAATGTCTTTCGACCCGACTCATTCACAAATCGAGAAAGAAAAACAATTTTTGTCTTTATGCTAAAAAATGGTATTTTTCTCATTAATGAAAGCTTATCCAAGAGGTCCAATGAATCAAAAGTTGACCACCGAAACAGAACTCACATCGTATAGGTCCAATAATACAAAGATGACAAAGTAAAGAACAATCCAGACCTACGCTCATCTTCGTCTCCACCACCACCACCATCACCACCACCACCACCATCAGTGTTCTTGAAGCCATGAGGAACCAAAACATTGCAGAAGATGGGTATGGACCTTCTGAAGACGAAGACGACGATTACTATGGCAAATTCGCTACCAGAAAAATGGCGTTGAAGAATTTCACCGAGAAAAAGAAGACAAGGAAAAGGAAATGGAAAAGGAAAAAGGGAAACACGAAGTTTAAAGAAAAGGAGTACTGTGAAAATTTACAGGACCCTTTAGTCGTATTTGGTTGGGATATCATGTTAATGATACTGAGTCATCTCGATGCACGCAGCGTGGCACTATCACTTATCGTTTCTCGTAGCTGGCATGGAGTCGCTTCCAGTGACGCCATCTGGTTTAAAAAGGTCCAACACCCTCTTTTATGTACAATCAAATATTCTTATGGGGTTTATCCATATTTGATCAAGCTCTGATGATATCACTTGATTACAGAATTCTAAAACATGGATTTTGGAGGATTTGGGATTTTTTTTGATTGCCTGAATTTCAAAGAACAAACCCTCAATGGTTTGTTTGGTAACTGGAATTCAAGTAATTGATAAACTGAAACAAGTAAATCCATGTTTGGCAACAGTAAGCTGACATAAGTAGCATTTCAATAAGCTTTAGGGTTTTCTTTTCCAGTTATGCTTTCTTATATTTTTCCAATTAAATTATGTAATTTTTAGGTCATTTTACATTGTCATATACGTTATCAGCTAGTTTTTATCATTCATAACCAGTTTATCAACTAGTTTTTACCATTAATGACTAGTTTATCAGCCAGCTTGTTTGCTGAACATAACCTAAGAATTAGGAGTAATAGGATGCTATTCTGTCTCTTAGATAGGAGAATGAGGAAGAGGATGTACTTAAATCCATGGTTTTATCCTGAAGCATGTGGTATATGAGGATGAAGTTGAGAGGGATTCCTAACGATAGCAACATGTGATTCGTTCCACACAATTTTCCGCAACTACGTCATTTGTTTCGATGTCAAATTTAAAGGGTACTCATAATACGAGTGTTCTGTAAACGTTGCTGAGGAGGTGATGCAGTTTGAAAGAACAAGTTTTTGAAGTTAATATTGTTTCTTGTGTCTTGTTCAAGTCTAATATTCTTCATACTTGCCTTCAATATTCAGTAACCACAAGAACCCTTTTGGATTACTGAACTATATCTAAGGATCACAGGAATTCTAGTTTCTAGTTTTTATATATTTATTATTGCAAATTGGGGTTCCTAGCTTCTGTGTCACCCACAGAAACAACCGCTTTACCCTGTTGGGATAGAGGTTAGGAATGCGTGCAGCTCACCCTCCAAGACCCTACATTCAAATGGGAATTTACTGGGTCAGTTTTGTTTTGATTTAGCTATGGATGTATGTTCTTTCCCTATAATCATTCAACCAATCCAACCCTGTTTGCAGTTGAGTCTTGTACTGGTGCTTTACTCATTATCAGGATGCTTATGGCCCCGAACACCATCCGAGCCGGTCAAGTGTCATTTAGCTCATAAAAAAATAATAAAAATCCAAGATTCTGAATGCTTTTTGTGGATTCCTTATTTGTATTTAATAGAGTGGTTTGGGGAAAACCAAAATAGGGTGGGTTACAAGAGAAGGTTACAACATAATCTAATAATCTGATTCTTATTCTTGTGGTACAGACAAACTCAAATCAAGATACTCAAATAGTCCTTCGTTATTTGCTTCTTGTGGGTGGTTTTATGGATTGGATGAAAACATTAAGAATGGGAATAGTGCAAGCTGAAGAATCGTAAAGACGTTGTTGCTGTTGATAACAAAAACTTGAATGTTGCCGAGTAGTCACAATAAATGATTTGAAGATGATGTCTTCTCAAAAGAGGTTCAAAAGTTCATGTCTCCCCATTTATTGTCGGTTTAACTACTACTGTTTCAAGGGTCACTTATGCATGATATTCTATGGCTTCTCATATGATATGGGGATTCTCGTTTGTTCACTTCTCCTGCATCAGTTTTGGTGGTACTACTGGTATAGGGGATTCATTTTCGTTATACGGATTGCACCCTCCCTACTCCGTGGGATAGAGGTAAATTTTGTATACAACCCACCCTCCCCAGAAACCCTACTCCATGTGGGATTCAATGGGTTCATTTGGTTTGATATGATAATAGCTCTAGATGAAGTCCAATCTTTTCCCTGGGGTATGTGCTAATGTTCTGCATCTGGGTATGATTATGGCTTTTGTTAACATAGTCGGAGTCTTTGGTATTTGGTTGTTCTTTTACCGGCTCAAAGACCAATTACCATCTAGCTATGCAGAACTTTAATGCATCAGATTATCAGAATAAAGCTTGGGCTTCTGGGGGTCCTCCCTATAGGTCACCGGTTCGAGTCCCTCCAAGTCCACCGGGGATTTTCATTTTCCTGGCTGTTCACCAAGCCCCATGGGAACAGTTAAGGTGTGCGCAAGCTGGTCCTGACGCCCACAGTTACCAAAAAAGAACTCTTAACATGTCCTAATTCGTTGCTTTCTTTTCCAATTGCCCTTGTGGGATAATTCCTTTTCCTTTTCTTTGTTTTCTTCTATTGTACGTTTAAGGTTTCATGGAAGGCCCAATTGATTTTGTTAAAATGGAACTGAAATATCTTAAAGAAGCTTGCATATTCTTATGCATTCATCAGATGCATCATCTTCTGGTTCAAATATCGAGTCTCATCGTGCATTACTATTAGAGCTTTGCGGTTCCAACTTAAAACCAAACGGTTATAAGTGCACTGGCCTTGGTTACAACTGTTATCATTAAATGGATCGTGATTCCCCACTATCAGATCATTGATCATATGACTAGTGTTAGGATCTACACGGTAACCGTTATTTCATGCCATAATATCTATTTGTTACATTCATACGCCTCCCTTCAAGCTGTGCTTGTGGCTCTACGATATCCACGTTGTACAGATATCTTTAGTGACGAGTAGCTAAGAAATTTAACTTATAATTGACAGTGTGAAGAGTTGTGGGCTGGTAAAGCACATCTACCTCGTGTGTCCCAAATCAAGGGGATCTCAAAGTTGGCTGCTTACTCGTTATCGATTATGGATGGCAAACGTGTACGTTTCCCTCTCCCTTACTTTTTCAGTTCTACAAGCATTGGTTTTCCTTCCTTGAATGTTTGTTTATTTCAGAGCCGAATCATGAAGGAAGACCTCTGGGATCATGCTTGGGAATTTCACTTTAACAAGGTAGGTGCTTTTGACTTTAACTCTATTGTAAGACAGGAGGATCTAAACTATGAGGGTGCGTTTGGTATACGGAATGGAACAGAAAAGGTGAAAAACTTGTTATCCCATGTTTGGCGCAACATTAGACCAGGACATGACATAATCCAAGTAAAACAAAAGTGCATTTTTTTCTGTGCCACCAAAATAGGTGGAACGAAAATTAGGGAGTGGAACAAGATTGGTAAATTACTAAACTACCCATGTCAAATTAAAACCTTATAACTTTCCACTATTCTTTCATCCACCTACCTCACTTTTGCCAATTTAGTCTGTTTGTATACCAAACACACCCTGATAGACCAGTAACTGATGAGATACCACTTTATTGGGCTCAGTCGGCACCAGGATACTGGAGGAACTTGGATCCATACTGGAAAGGGGCAGGGCCACCAATGCGACGCTACTTCCACCCAGATGGGAGTCAAACTGCTGATCCTGGTGATAAAGTATGGGGAGGACATGAGTGCTGTTACTCCATTGTTACAAGTTTCTTGGCGGACGGGAAGATCAGGGAGCACTATGTGCGGATCAACCGCTGGCCCCAGATGTCCATCTCCAGGAAAGAGGATTGGGGTTGGAAAATGTCGAACCACCTCTACTGCTACTTGAGTGTTCCAGACGCTGATAGAAAAGGTGGCACGGGTCCCTGTTTTCTGGCATGCTAACTATGTACTATGGTTTGTTTGAAACAAGTTTGTTTTTTGTTAGTTTCAGTAAACAGTTAAAGTTGATGTATGCTTGTTGGGTTTTCATGTTTGCAGTGGATATGGTTCGTTAAATGTGTTTGCCTTTTTCTTTAGAATGGCTTCCTGTTTGTGAATAATCATGCTGTTGCTGCTGTTGTTCAAATGAATATGTGCAAATGAGAACCATAAATATTTTGAGAATCTTAGAAACCAACTATTTTATATATTATTCATCATGAATATCATATATATTATAAATAATTGACAATTTTGGTCCCTATGGTTTACACGAATCATCCAAAGTGGTTCCTAGACTTCAATAAGTACAATTAACATCTCTATTGTTTGCATTTTGTGTTGAAAGTCGTCCCTCAAATTAACTATGTTAATTTTTTTCTGTTAAGTTAGGGGGTACTTTCGTTTTTTACTTTTAGAATAGAAGTTATATAATTTGGTTAAATCACAGGGACCAGATTGTAATTTATTCTAATTTATGTCGATATTATATATATATATATATACACACACACATATACCCATTAGGACACACTACACAGAGACTACCACCATTGAACATCTCCAATGAACAACTCACGCCTCCGTGGTCTTCTCCGGTGGTATTCTCCTGTAACCCTCCATCCGGCCGAACCCTCCACTCCGATAATCTTCTCCGGCCCAACCTTTCTACTCCAATGCAACATCTAGACCTGTAAACACACATACACTAAAATCTCATTTTAATCCCGCCTCTTATTTTACCCACCCTCTATCCCCTTGCATTATTTTTCATGATCTTCCCCAACACCTCAAATCCTCAATTTGTTTCATCTCCTAGAGCCATGGTAATCTTCTTTTTGCAAATATCACCTGTTCATTCCAAGATCTTTGTTTATGAGGAGGGTTTGAGATTAATCATTGATTGCAAATATCCTTAATGATTAAATTTAATTAGAAAAAAATGGAATTTTTCTATTGGTCAAAATTAGTTTACACGGTTTCTAAGAATTGCATGGTTTTCATTTGAACGTGCCCCTCTCTCTCTCTCTTCCTCTCTCTCTCTCTCTCTATATATATATATATATAGGAGGGTTTAAATAAAAATAATCCAATTTGTACAAACCATGCAAATCTCATTCAACCACTCATAATTTTTCATTTTGTTCATTTTTTTGTAATTATGAGAGATTTATTAACCATTTTTATTGTGGATGGTGTTAATCATGGTTATTATCATCTTTATTATTTTAATTTTAGAGAAAATACATGAAATAATTTCATTAAAATTTCATTAAATATTATATGAAACAATTTCATAACCATATATGAAACAAATTTATCAAAAAAGTATTATATGAAACAATTCCATAAGATTAAACAATTTCATGAAAAAATTCATAAATTTAAACAATGAAATCGACTTATGAATGTGATTTTCATTTGATCGCTCATATATATATATATGTATATATATATATAGAGGAGTGATCATATGAAAACCGCCCTCATTTGTGTAAACCGTGCAAACCACCTTTATCTGTCGATTTCATTGTTTAATCT